GCAGATACTTTGACTATTAAATCAATAAATATTTTTTCTGGCCGAGTTATAGGCTATCCTGTACATGGATAACTAAATGATTTGAATCACTTTTAAAAAGTTCGTTGCGATCACGAGTGAGCATTAACAGTCGACATCGCAATAATGGGCATGCAACTATACACAATACATAGTAAGTACGACCTTAGATACTCTTTCGGAAATAAGAATTTTGTTGACTTTTGGAGTTCCCTTCAAATAAAATACCAAAAAAATAATGTCTGCGGCATAGATAAAAAAATGAGACACATGAAAAACAAATCCTTGAAAATTACAAGAAGCAAGGAAGGTACCTTAGTAGTAATTAGAACAGAGTTGAAAGATGCCCGAGGTAAAAAGAGGAGGGCACGAAGTGCCCGATGGCGGCTCTTTTGCCTGAGGCCAACTTCATTTATGTTCTAACTGTTGAAGAATATGTTTTTGCTCTTCCTGTTCGTTTTTGCTCTTTCAATTGTTATAATCTTGCCTCTTTCAAATAAAGAGCCCGGAAAATGCAAAAACAACTATGCAAAAGATTTCTTTTTTCATTCATGCGTTCTAATAATTTATTTATCATTCGTGCTTTGTCATGAAGAACATTTGTGAAAGAGCAAACACTTACTCTTCCTGTCATAGGCAGTTTCAAGATACAAAATCATGTGCACGTGCTTCTTTTTTTACGAGTTACTTGAGAAGAACGTAAACTCAGCGGACAATTCGAAAAGAATACCAATCCGGAGAACAAACTGAATATTTATCGGTTTGGTTGAGCTTTAACGAGCTAGTAACTTTTTTAATCAGCTGCAAAAAAATATTCATCACTATACAGATTATTATTAGCACAGAAGAACGAGTTGGATCAATTTAGAGAAGAGGAAATTATAGTGAAAAATCATCTCAATTAATTGATAATATTGATTTAGGACTTCATTGCGAGGCCAAACTGTGCATTGTGTGAATTGTAAGTGGACTCTGCAACAGGAAAAAATAGCTAAAACACTGTGTTGCTCAAATTCACTCCAAAAACCGGCAATTTTGCGGAACCCGCAACAAAATTTGTGGAAGCCGGAACCAGATTGTGGAATTCATGAGCAAATAAAAAATTAAAATTATGTGCTTAAAAAACGTAGGCTGTAGCTGAATCCGCAACTATATGTGGAATCCGCAAATGTAAATGGATTCCGATTACAATTTGCGGATTCCGCTTACAATTTGCGGATTCCACATGCAGCTGCGGATTCCGCGACAGCTTAAAATTACTAGACACATATATTTTTCTTTGCTCATGGATTGCTCATGGATATCCGGAACAACCAACTAATCTTGCTCGTTGCGGAATCCTCAATAAAATCAATGTGCCGACGTTAGAGGAATCGTTAGAGGATTCCACTTACATTTTGGAACATATTTAAAGACTTGTCTCTGGAATCCCAGGAACATACAGACGTAAAATTGTGCGCCTAGAACAAATTGCGGGAGCTTCAAGTGTAAGGCAAAATGATGATTGTAGCTATCTCTTTATGTAATTCAAATAGATATGTGCCAATTTACCTCATTTCAATTTTAAAGAATGCAAAGAAGCTGATTGCTTTTCACTTATTCAGCTCAAATGTATATAAAAAAACATATTAGTTGTTATCCTTTTTGCAACTTAGGCGAAATTGAAAAAAAAAAATCAATCTCGCCATATGCAAATTGAACGCGCCATATACTTTGTGCTAATACCACGTAAGCAGAGTGAGTTAATCTGGCACAGACATCGTTCCAGGATCAGACGAGGTAAGTTAGTTATTCTAACGAATTTATTAAAATAATTTAGGTTTGCTTAATAGATTCAAAATAAGTAAAATCTTTTTAGCTCAAATAAATAACGTTTTCTGTTTTGAATGGCGTGCGGAGATAACTTAAGAAAAATTTTAGTTGTTTTCCTATTTTTGCCTTAAACTTTCGTCAATTCTTTTTGAATCGATCACTAGTTCAGAGATGTTAAAAAGCAGTTAGATCTGTCAAGGCCTCACAATGATAATCACAATTTTGGTTCTGATGGATTTGTAGAAATTTTGCACCGTTACTGATGAAAATATAAGCAAAAAACTTTGCTTACTATGAAGTCAGTGCTTTTTTGGTCCATCTTTAGACGGAAGTACCGTAATATCTGCGTTCGGGGTAATTTTCTCCATAAAATTGCGATTCAGTTATTAGAAATTTTGGCGCAACATATATTTATATAATCTGAAAGCTATTAAAATATTGAGCTTTAATTTAACAAAAATACGTTGCCACTTATCTTTTTATATGAATTTGAGTAGAAAAAAAAGAAACGAATGTTTCGTTCTTCAACGCGTAAGCGGCAAAATATTCCGGCTCAAAAATTGTTTCAAATTGAAATCGGGTCGCTACTTAGTTTAGTTTTTACATTACTATAGCCATAAATCTCACTTTTTGAAATATATATATTAAATATTTTGTGGGGGATGATTAAGATTCTCGTTTGTGAACAACATTCTGGTTTGAATGAAATTTTCATCAAAGTTTTTATTGTCAAATTTGTCTTTTATAGATGATATATCGAAGGAAGTTTCAGGGTTGCATTCTGATACGAGCAATGTTTTGTAGACAAGATTTTAAAATGAAACAAAAAAAACTTCCGGCTCTTTGCCACTATGAAAGTTGCTCTACCTGGTCTGTAAAAATTCGTTCTGAAAGAGTAAACAAACCAGAGCTCGAATTTTACATCACTTTCTTTAAGAATTGGGAAAAAGTTAGGATGTTCTTGTCAAATACTTGTGACTTTTTTCTTGACAAAATTGGTGTTCAAAATAATCAAAAATGGCAAATTTTGGATTTCTGAAGCACATAGTTTTTCGTTCTATCTTGGGTGAGCGGCGAAAATTATCCAGCTTAAAATGTGTTCTAACTTGAATTAAGGCATGCTTTATTTCACTTGTTACGCTATTATCGCCATACGTTTCTCTTTTGCGTTTTATTTGCCGTCAAAGGTAATTTTTTAACAACAATTTGTCGACATGTTTGTTTCGAGATGTTTTCATCAATGTTTATGAATTGAACTCTTTTTAATAGACGCCTAAGCGCAGTTGGAAAATGAATGGCGTATCTTTGATGCAAACATTTTGCCTAGACTTAATTTTAACTGTACAAAATTTCCCGCTCGTTATCTCATGGAGAAACAAACCATGGATCAGATAAGCACATAAATTCTTTCAATCTTTGATTCAATTTATGATTTATTGCAATTATCGAATCACGACTACAGGGCATTCAAAAAATGTAACTGATTTGATTGTTTTTGCTTAAGTTCGGCATGATTAAAGAGGTTTCATAAACGGTTAATACAATGCTCTTAGCCTAATTTTTTCAGCAATTGTATGTTTTTCTGACTGAATGACATTACAATTTTTAGAGCCTTTCACGGCCTACTGTATCCCCCATGAGACGAACAATAAACAGACGTAAAATTGTTTTGAAAATAATTTAGAACGTGGTTACGTTATCCTGAAAACATAAAAAAAATTTTGCACAGAGTCTCTTCAATTAGTTTTTAAATGGCATGTCTTAGTACAGTTTATTTTTGCGAAGAACAAACGTTGTCATCCAAACATTTTAATCATACAATCCCCATAAAAAGTAAGTTTAAACCCAATTTTTTTCAATTTTAATTATAAATTTTTTTGATTACCATTAAACATCTATTATCTGGAGATTTTTTATTCGAACTTAAAATTAATCTGTTAGTAACCAACTATCTAACGATTTTGTGGTCGCAGAGTAGAACTATCGATTATGGTGAAAAAAGTTCGTCAAAATAGTATATTTTCATATTGGTTATATTGGAAATATTGAAAACTATGATTCCAATATACTCAATATAAAATTTTCATTAAATGCACAAAAATGTGCTACATCAAATTTTTTTAAATTTCAGTTGCCTCAGAGTGAAAGTATGAAAAAACAGCGCCAAAAACTTTTAGACAATAAACCTAGTTATATAATTGATTGCCTAATATCTCAAAATAATGTTTTGTTTTGGAGCTAAAATCATCATTTAAAAAAAGTTTTAGCATAAATTGATTTTTCATACCCAATTTTTGTTAATTCAAGATCTAAACAATTTATCATGATTCATGCTCTTGTTTTTACAATGAATTACTTGTTTATGTTTCAATCTTTTGCTTTTGAATGTTATGGAACTTAAGAAAATCAAGAGCTTTTTAAAGTTTCAAGCGAAAACTGTATTTTTTTTACTTTTGATTTTTAGTGATTTTTTACTTAACGACTGAAAAATGCTTATACTTCATTGTTTTTTTCTGTATTAATTTGGGCAAAACCTAGCCGAGCAAAACTGCCGAGCAAAACCTAGCCCAGATAAAGCACCAGAGAAAAGGGTTAAGCTTAGAATTATTACATGATAGATAAAATTGGCGGCGTTCCTCGTGATGGATTGAACGAAGGTTGGAACCTTGTTTTCAGCTAATTTCTGCTAATCAGATTTTAATTTTCAAAAAGCTGACAGAAATTGCAAAAATCTCATAAAAGTGAATAATTCCAGGACGCTGAAATTAATACTGACCAATTACAGAATTATCAGGTTTCAGATAAACCAAACTCAGACATTTCTTGATCAACAATTCATTGGGAAAAAAATCAGTCTCACATTCAGGATTCCTATTAAAAATTTTTGTAGCTGCACGCACAGCAGATGAATGCTAAAAAAAAATTAGGCTAAGTTTGACTTCGGATCACTGCAAAAATTGTTCAGCGAATAGTAACGTCTGCTGATTTCGATTGGTTGAAATTTGTTCCATCATTCGTTCACTCCATCATGAGAATACTACACGTTAAAACCATTGAATAGACCGAATTAGTTGACTCACTACAAAATTTAGCGTAAATAATCCTTTTGTGTGAGCCTCTAGAATCCAGAGACAAGTCTTTAAACATACTAAAATTTTGTCAGAGAGATCAAACAAAACGAAAGAACAAACGAGAAAATTAAGAGCGCATTCTGGTTGCAGAACTCTAAGTAATTCACAAAATACACAGTTTGGCCTCATAATGTTCTCGAGATTCAATGTAAGCAAAAAAAACTAAGAAAGACTATAAGCTGAAGTACCTTCAACACCCTGAAATGGTAGTTTTCTGTCCTCTGTAATGGTTTCGCCTTGAACTTTGAGAACTGAAATTGCGTTTCTGCTTTTAGCTAACACTTCTTGAGTTTGCGAATAAAACTGAGAGCGATATATTTCAAAGGTGCCAGTGGTTGCACTGCCTTTGCGAATATCTCTCAACTGCCAACTTTTAACCCCTAATGTTGCTGTTTTTCTGGTCAATGCTGATCCTGATTGCTTCTTAGAGCTTCCACTGGTTTTGCTTTGACTGAAAGTATCTATCGCTTTGTTCAGACTGTTTTCAACTGCAGTGCACGAGTTAGACAACTTTGAAATGTTTGATTTGATATTCTCGACCACTTTTTTCTGTTCATTCAGTTCCTCTAAAGACTTCTCCTGGAGCGAATGAAAAATTTGAACATTTTGTGCGTTTTGCGTTTTGTTTTTCAGCTCCGTTAATTTTTCGAGTCTTTGAATAGTAGAGACAATTTCCTCGTTCAGGTCAACAGAACTTGACACCAAACTTTTGTAATTGTTTTGATACTGTTCAACAAACTTCCATGAATCGCTTGATGTTGTGATCAACTCTTTGAGCACTGATTTCAATGGCACGACTGAGTGGTCTAAATGACTTCGATTCCAGCAATCTTCGCAAACAGCCACTGAGCAGTTTTTGCAATAAAACTTCTTCGCATTTTTGTGAACACTGCAAAGGTCTTGGCTAGCTTGATTCTCTTTATTTGATGAGCTTTGTTGTGATGCCTGAAGCAACAAAATTAATTACCAAAATAAGAGTAAGACTCCTTTTGTAATCACAACGACTATAACGCCTGAAAGCCTATATAGTTTGTAGATCACATCAGATTTGATAATCACTCAGCTGGGAAGCTGAACTTAATCTGTGCCAAAGAGAAATTTCTAATAACTACACAGGTGATAATGGAGCATAAGATAATGTGAAAATATAATTATCCCGTTTTTGCTAAGATTAATTTCAATTATCTGGCTTTAGAATTATAAAACCTTGAAAATAGTTTCCTTTATATTTTATTCTATTTTTGCTCACTCTATTGAAATTACTAAAGAAAATATCAATTTTTGCTCAAAAATTACCTAAATTAAGCTTTTATTTTAAAAAAAAAGATTTTGAGAAGAAACTGCAAGACCAAAACAATCATGATTCCATATAACTGCAAATATTTGTCTTAGTTATATTTCATTTTTTTGAACTGACTAAATGTTTCTTGATAGTTTTTATCAAAAGGTTAGTCATCAAACTTTTTTAAAATCCTAAATCATTTAGAATACTCTGTTCTCACTATAAGTCTAAAACCTATTTCAGGTTTTATTGTTAAATCATCAAGTCCAAAGTTTTGCCTACAGTTCGCCGTGAAAAATTGAAGATGATCTCAGCTTTAGTGTCATTGTTCGTCTAACTATCAATTGAAAATTGACGCTTTTTACGTTAAACACTCTTCTGTAACCGTCAAAATTTCAAATATTTTTCACACAAATGTCATAAAAATTGGTCTGTGGAGTCACTACAAATTTGGAAACACGCTGATTGAAAGGTAGTTTTGTACATTCATTGAATGCATTATGGAATTGAACGTAATATCCAGACACGCGGAGAAGAAGAAAAGAAGAAAAGACTCAACTTTGAACCCAGGGTTTTGAAAAGAAAGCTCCAATATATTCTTCCATGCCCAAAAAGTGGGCTCATTCTATCACTTAATTACTCAAGCCAATGCGGAAAACTGATGCCTACTTATAATTTAGACTTACAATCTCATCCAGAAAGATGTACCATGTTTTCAAAATTGGACTCCTTCATCCGAATTTACTCGAAGACGAGTGGACCAATGATAAAAAGGAACTTCCGTGGAATTAGGCAACAAAAAAGGGACTCAACCCAAATGTAACTGGACTGCTTGTGCTTATCGTCAATTTTCGAATTAAACTCGCTGAGACTGTACCTAAAATCTTTGCTCCGTGAACTAAAAAGGGATTATTTTGTCTATTTTGAGTTTATCATTTTGAAATGGAGAAACGAGAAAACATTCATTGAAAAAAAAAACTCGTCTTCAATAAACTTTTCTTCTCTGAAGTAATACACTTACTCATTTTCACGGAAATCAAAGGACTCGATAAAAAAACACTCATTTTGTTTCGACTTTTGTTCCGACCGACTCGGCCAAAAACAGATATGTTTCAACGACTCTGCTGAAGGTAAAATGTGTTCGACACGAAAGTGCTATGTTTTGACTGTTTCGACTGTTTCTACTCGACCCAAACTAGCTATGTTTCGACCGACTCTACAAAAGGTATTGACAAGGTTCAACCATGTTTCGACCAATTATTGTATTTGACTTTGCGTTCGACTATGCTTCGAACTTATTTTGTGATTTTCGTTGTGCTCGAATGTGACTCGAAATAGTGTTCGGCTATGTTTCGACCACTTTTTCGATTGTGTTTAGGATTAGTGTGCGACGCGAAGATATGTTTTCGACCATGGAACTTCGGTCGATCCAAAATCCGTGTGTACGATCGAATTAGGTGGAAACATAAGTCGAACACCTCGACCCGGGTTAAGCAAAGTCAACGTGTTTTTATATGAAAAACCATTTTAAAATAAGAAATAATTGCAACTATGCTTAGAAGAGTCAAATTTCTTAACGATTAAAAACTTTTAGAAAATTACCTCAATTGCGGTTTTCAAATCGTAATTGATCGATATGTCGTCCTCGTTTCTAATGCTTGCAGCAATCGGTTTTCGACATTTTGAACACCTTCTAGAGTCACTGGTTAGAACTTTACGCAGGCAATCTTTCGGGGTTGAACAAAACGAGTGACCACAATGTAAAGCCTTTGGGTTCTCAAGAGTATCCAGGCAAATACAGCATTCAAATGGATCGCTCATACTGTATCCTGGCTATGTCCTGCTTGTAAGAAACAAAAGCTTTAACATTACAAGCTTTGATGCTTCGTAACGTAATTTGAGATATTGAAAGTTTTCAAAAACATGAAGCAAAAGTTAAAACATGCGTTTATAATAAAAAACTTGTTTTGTCAAAAATTGTTTCTATTGAGCGCAAATTAAAAATGTTTCTATTGAGCTCAATCATTTGCAGAGAGAAAAACTTTAGAGGCACGTTGGACTTGTAAGCAAGACAAAATGATCAAAATATTATAATCTGCAAAATACTTTGTACTTTGTAAAGTTATTGAGCGCTTAATACATGTTTTTCGTGCTCTCGCAGTTTTCAATTTTATTCTAACGGCAAGAAAACAAAAGCAAGCGAGATTTGAAAGCATTGTTTTTATACGAACGTAATTAAAGCAAACAAAAAAATCATAGTTAAAAATTAAAAGTAGGAATATTTGAGGCCTGTTTTCCCATCAACGCAGTTTTAGAAATCAGTTTTTTTTTGTTGGTTGTTTACTGGACAACCATTATGAAACACAACCATATTGTTAATTCTGTAGTTTCATCGTTTGTTTCAGGAAAAGATTTTATATATTATAAGTACCCATACTGCGGGTTTTTGTCCTCATCTGAAGTCCCTATCAGCTAAAATATGTACGATACTACTGATAGTCTGTACAAAAATCATGAAAAACTTCCGTGTAGCCATCTCGAGCTTCCAGACAAAATTTACACTCAATAAGTTGCACAAATGCTATAATTGATATTTTTTGTTATGGAGATACTACAGAGGTTCCCCCACTGTCAATTTTATCATCAATATAATCAACCATAACAATCATAATATTGAAGGAATTTGGGCAAAGTCCAAAGGCTTCAGAGTTGCGATTCTTCAGTTTTAGCTGATGTCTAGTCATTTTTGAGTTAATGCTGTAATTGCCAGCACTGTTGATTTGCCTTGTACATAGATCGGTCCCTGTGATATTTTTTGGCAAATAACTTTTTTTATATCTACGTGAGTTTTTATTGAACTGATTCAGTATCATGGCAAGATACGCTGTGAGTTTGTTTACCAGAAAACGTACTCTATAATTTGTTTTGGGGGACCGATTCGTCAGCAGACCAATCTTTTAGCATAAAAAGGAAAAATGAGTCTTTTAGCAGATCAACGTAAGAATGTTTGGACTAAGAATACGTGGGTGATTGATAGACATACTCAAAAAGATGCTCAGTCTTCAATTAAATCTTTTATCTCACGTTTTGTGAACAAAACTATCAATTTCAAACACACAACAGTCAAAATTTGCGGCAAAACAAAGAGTTGCGCGCACAATAACACCGGTGCTGAATTGAAGCGCAGCGGAGCCAATGCTGCGTTTGAAGCTAGATATCACTCTCTAAAACTAGTCTGAGTCTTCTAAAAAAAATGGTCTGCTAAAAAAAACTGGTCTGCTAAAAACCCTAGACCCTTTGTTTTGGTTTAATTTAGTTTCATTTCGGGAGTATATGGAATGCTTTTCTTTTTATTGGGCATGATGTCACCGGGCTGCAGATAGTAGAGTCGTAGTTGCTATTATCCACTTCGTGAAACAAAGGAGATCGTGCATCTCGTGATGGAAATAGAATTAATGGGGACCAACTTTTTGCCAGAAAAGGCATAACATGGACCTTTTACCAGGCTCGATGAACAAGTTGGATTGAGAGTTGTAATGGCGCCATTTAGTCTGGTTGAAAACTATGTTTTAACAATTTCTCAGCGAATCGTTCAGTAATTTAAAGTTTATCCTAATTGAATTATTGCAACGTGGTCTGGTAAAATGCCGGTCTGGTGATTGCTTTCACAGGTCCCAAAATGAAAAATCAGTGCCATAACGAAATTAAATTTCTCATCCTAAAATTGCAACTACAGCTTGTCCCGTCTGCAGTTTTACTTTCCAATCTTACAAAATGGCACTTTCTTCTCATCCGTTATTATTCATTAATTGGTCGCTTAATTTACTTCCGGTCCGGGTTTCTAATCCTTATTAGGCCATTCTTCAAGTCAATCATCACATCGAATTTCCTGACAAAGTCACGGTCCAAGATGAATTGGTCGGAGTTGTCTAAGTTCTCAATTACCAGGAAGCTCATCCAAAGATCCCGTCCTCCCACATGAAGACCTTTATTGGTGCTCTCCCGGCTACGGAGGTTGCTCCGCAGTTAGCGGCCGCCAATCTGAGGTTCGTCGGAATTAAGTCTTCCCTCGTGAAGCCCATTCTTTCCCAAGTCTTTGTTGGCATCACGCTTACCACTGCTCCTGTATCCAGAAGTCCTGTCACTCCGATTTTCTTCCCATTGGTGTCTAGCAGAGGTGCTGTCACATCTGCTTCGTATCCTTTGTGATCCGCGTCTTGCTCCATCATGGCGTCGTGGCCTATCCTACGGATTTTATGTTATTCTTGACCCAAATAGATCTGCCATATTTGCTCACTGTCTGTTGTTACGTAGGTCTTACTATAGATACTGATCCCATCCACGTTCAACATCACTTGAAATGGTCCATAGACTTCCACCTAGCGCCCGTGAAGTTTCTTTATTCGAGGGCCACCATTTAGTAAAGGTAATCTGCATATGTATCCAAATGCATAAAAGTGAACTCTGAAGGTTTACGCAGGTTCCTGATTACCTGATGTCCCGCTACCGAGATTATTGACCATTTCTTACTACCTTGTGGCACCAAGCCGAACGTCTGCCCGGAGATCACATTAAGTTTCAAGCTCAAACTGCTTGGTTCTTCCGTTTCCACTACCTCCGATGCTTTAAAGGCGTTCAGCTTCTCCTGTGTTTTCTCATTCTGTAGTTCGAGCTTAACTTTTTGTTCGATCTCCGTCGTCACCAAGTCGTGCTGGACTCTGTATGAGGCATCTCTTGCTGCTGGCTTACAGTCAATTTTCAAATCGTCTGCCGCAGTCACTGGTTTCGGTTCACGTACTTCTTCCGTTACTGCCTGCATTTTCATTCATGCCAGCTCTTCTTATTCCTGCGTGCCTCTGCTTTACTCAATAGGCATGCCTTGCTGGCTTTCACACTCGACAAAGCTTCCTCATGCCTAGGATGCTTGATGTCTGCCACTGCATCTCAGAATTGAGGACAAATTGATATTAAATGACCCTCCAAGTTACAAAAGAAACACCTGGGGCCGAACTTTACAATTACTCCTCTCATGAAAACTTCATGATCGACTTCTGACGCATCTTCATTCTCGAGACTGAAGCCTATTGCCTTCATGCCTTGTTTGTAGGTTGGGCATGCTGTTAACTGATGGTCTGTCGAACTGCAGTTTGCACAAGAGCGTGTCTTGTCCATGTCGTCCCTTGGTTTGTACCAATTAGTACCTTGGTTCGCTGGTCCATTGTTAAAATTGCCATAATTGTTTTTGCAGTAGCCAGATTTGATTTGAGGTTTTAGTGAAAGAAATTCCTCCTTAGCCAAAACGATTTAACAAGATTTCAGAAACTTTCTCAGCTGTGTCCCGCTGGTATTGCTTTTTGGCCATGACGTAGTTTAGGGCTGCTGTCCCTTCCAGGTTGCTGGTGAGCGCACTGCATTCTTGTCTTTCTGTCAAATCTTCAGTTTCATGACTTCTATCCAGGTATCAATACAGCCTTCAGATTTGCCTTCTGGATTTTTCACTGCGTTCACTGGTTCCAGATAACCTCGTTAAAACAGTTTCCGAGGACCTGTTCTCTTGTCTGTTGCGGTTGATTTCTTCCTGCAGGCTTTCTCTCTCAACGTGGACTGCCCTCTCCAGTTCACTCATTCTTAAGAACATCTGTTCGTTCTGTTCTCCTATGCTGTCCACTATGTTGGTCAAGGCTTCTTCGATTGGTGCCCCGTTGTCCACCAATGGCGTCACAAGTGGTGGTGTCACCCTATCGGTTCCAGACAGCTCGGTGCTGGTCGAGACTCGATTCTTACTTACTTCTCAGCCTCGACGTTTCTTCATAATCCGCTCCTGGATCCGCCGGTGGGTTACTTGGCCCAGCTGTTTTGTTATCCCCAGGTTGCACTCACAAACTCGTCACGGTCACAAACTCAATTGACTGGTTTGATCCTAACGTGATCTTGCTTATTGTCCTGACCACACCAAATCGGTCCGTCTCCTTATTGGTGTATGCTTCATTCCCCTTGCGAGCCGCACTAAACAGACAAAACTTGAAGGCAGTAATTTTCTCAAGTGGACGTCTATTGCAACCACCGAGTCCTTTGTTAACTATCTGCCTTGGGATTGCCCGAGCTAGACCGGCTAAAATCCTCAAGGCAATCACTTTTCCAAAAAAAAATAATTTTGATTTTAATCCACAGAAATCAGTGTCGAACTCACTTTTCAGTTAGAAATAGAGTCGCGAATCTCCGGGCTTAGACCTGTTGTGTTTTTACTACAATTTTTTATCAAATTTTGTTTAAAGGCAAGTTACCAGTGCAGTCACTAGTTTCTAGCCTGATTCCTAATATACTAATATCTTTTACTATTTATATCACTTCTTTCTACGTATGCTTTGGAATTCTTAGAATCATGTGCCTTATACGTATTTCTATGACTCCTCCGTGTTGATAAAGATAGTACCTTTCCAGATAGGACCTTTCCGGATTGGCAAAAACAGAACCCTTCCCGATTGGCGAAAATAGGACTTTTCCGGATTGGCGAAAATGGGACCCTTCCGGATTGGCAAAAATAGGACCCTTCCGGATTGGAGAAAATGGGACCCTTCCGGATTTGCAAAAATAGGACCCTTCTGGATTGGCAAAATGGGACCCTTCAGGATTGGCAAAAACAGGACCCTTCTGGATTGGCGAAAATGGGACTCCTCCGAATTGGCGAAAATGGGACCCCTCTGGATTGGGACCCCTCCGGGTTAGTAAAAATAGCTTTCCTCTGTCGACTAAAATTCACATCCGAAACCCTATGGTCTTCGAGGCTATTATGCTGTTTGAACTAAATAGGAAGGATGTATTCCGTCCCTACCAGATTAAAGTTAAGCCACTTAATTGACTATTCTTCTTAACTGTGAAGGGTGTTATAATTAGCCTAGTTTCGACTCGATTATCTTTTTCTGGGTTTCTTGGTCATTCCTTTTTGTCAGAAACAGCGTAAAATTGCCTTAATCAACCATTACTACCCTTTAGTAGGCGTTCATGGGCTTCCACT